GCAACAACAATACTACAGCGAAAATAAAAGTTACGCCTTCTTTCTTTGCGTGAACATTTGGGCAGCGTTATGCAAATCTTCCCACATCGTGACGTAGACATGTGGGGGCGTGTTAGAACGAGCCGTTTTAGGTAGGCGTGGTTGACTTAACTTTTATAAAGAATGTCTCTTTGGATTTGAGACTTTAGCCTTTGCAATTTTACAGATCTTCAAGCACCAAGAGCTTGTAACACTCAAAAGAAAAAGGAAAAATTTAAATCGCACCTTTAAGTTTACTACTAGACTAAAAGCAGTTGAAGTTATCAGGTGCATAAGGGTGATTCTATAATTGCAGGTACATTTGGTGTCCGAAGTAATTTTTTTTTTTAGCTTTTTTTCAAATGGTTATTGTTTTTTTATTATTTTAATAATTTGTTACTTATTGTTATGAATTACAAGATGTTACAGTCAATAACAATATAATAATTTATGTAAAAAGTGTCTTAGCTCAAAATCATGATTTGTTGTTGTCCGAATTAGTCAGTGCATTTTTTCCATCATGTATCATTGTGTAATCAAAATATTTTATTGTATTTTTATTTTTGTAATATTTCATTCATTTTATTTATAAAGCCCTAAATACTAATTTACTTAATTTTACAACATTAAATTGTTTAAAAATAACTTTTTTCTTATAAAAATGTGTGTCCATAAATCTTGCGTCAACTCTGTACCGTACCATATTTTGCCTTTAAATTGGTGGAATTATCTCCCACAACTATGTAATATACAGGAAATGATGACACTTCCCCTCACTGATAAGATCTGAAGCACTGAAAAGTCTGTGTGCTCTCTCTGAGAAAATATTTTAATCTAAAAAGTTCTTATACCAAGAGTTATTTTGAAGAACGTCAACGCTGTTACCACAATATCAAAAGGAAAACACATTTTATTACTGATCACAAATTGGGTTATTTAAAGGTATTTTAATCATGATTTCATTAGTGCCATGTGCTCTTAGCATTTATGCTAGCAAGTGGAGTTTTTGGCAAAAATAAAATAAAATTGTCAATTCTGTTACCGTCAAACTATGTTACCAAGGTCGAGTAACAATGCTGTCAATAGTGTAACAGAATTGACAGTCCACCAGATAATTCTGTCAATTCTGTGTATGAACTATTTTCACAACAAAACTATACAACTGTTGTTTAAAATCTCATAAACATTGAGATATGATGCACTTTTATAATATTTCAACATTTCTCTTTTTTTTTTTTTACTGGATATTGTATATAATACATTTTCAGATGAAAAATATTTGCTCCAAGTGGACAATTCTGTGAAGACATAGGTTGTTTTTTTTTGTTAGTTTTTTTATGTATGCATAGGTGAAATATTATCTCAGTTCCAAATGCTGGAATGCAAGGACTGTTTGTCTGATGATACAAGAAGGACTTTTCATTTGATGATTTATTGTTATTTTTACACATTACCTAATTTGAGTTGACAAACAATACCATTAAGACATCTGTTTTTTCATTAAAAGTAAAATGAGTTGAAAAAAAGTTTTCAATAAGATACTGGAAATAATTTCTGTTAGTGAACAGTTTTTTTCTTAACTTTATGAAATGCCGAATGTATCTCCAATTACAGAATCACCCATAATCACCCAGGGTCTTTGGGAAAACGATGAAAGGCAAGATTTTTACTGTCACACTGATAGTTTTTGCAGTGGATTGCCCAACATTGCGTTCTTTTATTCCACTTTTCACCCCAAAATGGCGGCCGCGCTACCGAAGCGCCACCTAGTGTCTGTTACCCAAAAAGCATCAGAGTTTCGCCTCTTGGTCTTCTGTATACTCTTTGCCCACATCTCTCACACCAGTCCCTTAAAAGCCTACACATAATGTTCCAAAAATGTGTTATTAATCTGATAGTAGATTACATATGTCAGTCAGTTAAATTAGTTCGTTCACGAATGATCCTCCTTAAGACACGAAACACCGACTCGTGCTTTTCGCCAACGTTTTCCTAATTAACTCTAGGTCGAATATTATTTACTTGTATTATGAGTCTTTGAGTATGAAAATCCAACAAGAGCAGTCAAAGTCTTTCAAAGGGAGAAGCTTAAGTAAACGAAAAATATAATCAGTGCATGAATATGAGCGAAAACGGATTCTGTCACAAATGAAATGCCAGCAAATGTATGTATTATGCATTTTATTTGAAAGTACGGTGCAAAAACAATCACCTACTCAAGCCGACCCAGATGGGACTCGAACCCACAATCCCCAGCTCCGGAGGCTGATGCCTTATCCATTAGGCCACTGGGTCAACACTGCTCACGCAATGAAAACTTGGGTAATTATTATTTAACAAAAAAAAGTGAGAATTGTTGGAACATTACATTTATCTAAAATATGGCGTTTTGTAGCACAGACGGCGTAAATTACGTCGTTTTCACAGCACAACCGCCGTTAATATAGGCGTTTATTGATGCAATCCAAAACGCCGTTTGGCCATCCATAATACGCCGTAATTTACGGCACTCCGTTTGACAAAGACGGCGTAAAAAACGGCGTTTTCTGTAATATTAAAATCAGCCCCTCCTTTTTTACACAGGCCAGCCCCTTTGATGCAGTAGGCAGTAAGACATGAGTAGTACAATGTCGATCTGAATGGCAATCTACTTCAAGGATCCTGTTTTTTAACGTTATGTGACCAACATTTGGATTTTCATCGTGTGATATTTTTACTTTTTCATTGGGTACACGTGTATCTTTATCTTCTTTATCATATGTACACAAATTGTGCAATTTTATTATTCTATGTGTAAGTTGATGTGTGTCAAATGCAGTGAGCATAGATTAGTAAATATTGGTTTCTGTAGTGCTGTGGTCTGCTTTCATTGCAACTGTGCAGTGTTGCTTTAGTGACAGGAGTTCGAGTCTGAGGTCCTATGTTCTTTTCTCTCCTTTTCGTTTGTTGTGTATTAATGTCTTTTACATTTTGGAGAAACTGCCCTTTCTGCAAATAACAGGAAAATTATTTCTTATTTATTTATCTATTATTCCAACAGCCTGTGCGAATCAGCTGAACTATAAGCAGTGGCGTCGGTTTTTATTGTTGATTAAATTTGATTTCCCATGTGAAAGCGCTTGTTTGGCTCATTTAGGCTTGCTTGCAGTATGCCTTTAGTACAATATGGGTACGTTTCTGTTGAATAAAAAAAAGTCAAAATGCTGGCATTTTTCTACGGTGACGCACTGCTGCCACTATTTATCATTTACACTCAATTATGTCGTAATAATGCTATGTCGTTAAAACGATCTTTTATGGTTAAAACGATATATTTTCTCGTAATAACAACATATTATGTCATAAAATCGATATGTTTTTCCTGTTATAGAAGATATACGGTTACGTGTGAGCGAGCTAAGCTATTGTCCGCTGCTGTCGCCACAGTCCTGAGATAAACGAGAACTACGCTGTTACTAAGCAGGAGGGATCATAGACACACACTGTTTTAAATTTATTTTAATGTCATGGTTTTTGGTTGATTTAACACCAAATTGAAATAAGAACAAAAACGAAAAGGAGAGAAAAAAACATCAAACCTCAGACTTGAACTCCTGTCACCAAAGCAACACTGTATGATTGCAATGAACACAGACTACAACACTACAGAAACTGATACCTACAAGTATATGCTCACTGCATTTGACACACATCAACTTACACAAAGGATAATAAAATTGTACAAGTTGTGTACATATGATAAAGAAGATGGAGATACACGTGAACCCAATTGTTAGTAAAATAACAATTGGTCCCTTGATATCTCTTTGCCACCTGGAAAAATTCTCAGTCCCTCAAAGTGTATAACGGCCGGGAAGCAAGAAAACACACATCAAATGTATTCTCAATACTTCAATTTTATTCATAGAAACAAAGATATTATATAGGCATATGTCGAGGGGAGTTTCAACCCTTTAACCAATGAGGAGAACCCTATACATATAGGATCTTGACCAAGAACATGTGTTTATATAAAATGGCCACATGTACAGAAAAACATGGACATATTAGGAATAGACTTGGCGAAGGATGCTGAACTCGCTTCATAGTTCATCACGAACCCCTTTCACCTTGTAGTCCTACCATTCATGTCCTTATTTGAGCATTTGAACCAAGAAAAGCTAATGCATACATGTGCGCATGCGTACCTCGCATATGAGTAAGAGACATTAAAACATCATACAAGAGAGAGAGAGAGTGAGAACAGATGGAGGAGGGGGCTTCAGAGAGAGAAACAATCAGTGCGCTGTATCCACCTTTTTCTTCAACGCGGAAGTAAGCCTATGGGTGAGACTTCCGGTTCATTAGCCGCTATAGGTAAATAACGAGGAGAATAACAACGTGCAGTAAACGGTAAAACGGTTTGCACTACAAACCAGTGTGTTCATAATTTCAGATAATACATTAAAATAATATGATAAGACACACCAACTTTCAATATCAAGCAGCAAAACGAACTGTTTTGCTCAGCTAAAAATAGCTGGACGGAGTGGACGCAGATGAAACCGGAAGCCATACCCATATATTTTCCAAATGGCCGCGCCCATTTTTACGACAAGAAAAAGGTGGATAGGGGGCGAGTGAAAGAGGAACAGGAAAAAAGGAAAGGAGGGGTGAAAACATCTGGAACCAATCTCAAGACAGAGAGTGTTTTCTAACACCAATGAAAAAGTAAAGGGGCTGATTTTAATATTACAGAAAACGCCGTTTTTTACGCCGTCTTTGTCAAACGGAGCGCCGTAAATTACGGCGTATTATGGATGGGCAAACGGCAAAATTAATGACGTTTTGGATTGCATCAATAAACGCCAATATAAACGGCGGTTGTGCTGTGAAAACGCCGTAATTTGGAGAAGGGTCTGTCTGCGGACAGCAAGAGAGGGGCATAACTTGAAGAAGGGGCGTAACTTGAAGTTGTCCAAATCACACAGAACCACGCGAGATGTCAAAACTAGATGTTGTCGGCTGCGTTGCGTTCGAAACCTCATACTTTCTAAATTATAGGCACTTAATTTCTTCAAGTACTTACTTACCGAGCGCTATGAGAGTATACAGCCTGAATGCGTTAAGTATGAATGCGATTCGGATATCATCCGCTATGTTGACGTTATCATGTGACCTACGACGTTATAACAAGCGCAACAACTTAAAAGATATGAGTAACAGGTTTTCATCTAACTGTAAGTATCTTGATAATGATGAAACTTGCCCATTTTGTGGTCTTGTTGAAGAAACAGCTGCCCTTTTTTGTGATTGTAGTATAGCCAATACAATTGGGGGTTGATTTAAGTTCTTATATTTTTAACTCGAAAACCCAAAATCGTTATCTCTTGAATATGTTGTTAATTATTTTGTGCAAAATGTTTTATCCACAAGCAAAAGTGGCTTAAATCTCCTGTTTTATTATTTTTCTTGTTGAATTTAACTCGTTTCACGTTTCATCCCTCAGGCTTCTAAAAAAAAGCGTCATGATGAATTATTCAAAGATATTGGAACCTTGTCACTGTGCTTTTTTTCTGTGTATATTCTCATACTATGACGAACACGTGAATTTGTTTAAACCGTTTTATCAGAATCAGAATAGCTTTATTACCAAGTATGTTTACACACACACAAGTAATTTGACTTGAGACAGGAGCTTCCAGTGTAGAAGAAAGTACAAACATAGTGCAGACATACATAGGAATAACACAGTAGGGATGCAATACAACACTGATATAATATATGCCATTATGATTGTTCATTGTTAGATACAACCATCTTTCCCTGATCTTTTATGTAATTATAAGTTCGGCAATAATAATAATAAAAAAGAGGGACAGGTGCACTAACACCTCATAACATCACTAACTTAACAATCTAGTACCGATTTCCTCAGCGTTTGCAATGTCTGCACAAAGGATATGTCGGGCAGCTGCTCGAAGATCTCGCCTTTGGAGAAGACTGTTGATTTTATACTCTAAAAATGTAAGTATTACTACTTAAACATTAAGATTACCCCAGAATGAATTGCATCGTTTCACCACCCCAACACTTACATGCAATAATAATGATAAATGCTAACCAATAATTACTTTTTTTAAATAAATGTTGTCGTGACATAGCGATACATAAATATACACTAGTTGAACAAATGCAGTCGATGTGAATACAACAATTTTCAATCAAGCAATTAATACATGAATTAATCAAATATTAATATTTTATTTACTCACAACAATAAGAAACATGAATAAATGAGTAAAGGAATGAATAAAAGCAAGCATCACAATAAATACAAGTCAACAACAGATGAAACAAAGCTTAATTCAAACGTATTGTTCTAACAATCATGTATTTACAGATGGTGAACCCCACATCCTACTGCCATCTCAACACAACTGAGACAGTTCTGCTGCTGCTTTGTGCTTCACAATCTCACTCTTCTCAGTGGAGACATCGTTGAGCAAGAGGATGAGGAAGACCATGATGACGGCTCTCTGAACCAGGCAAACTAGAAGCAAGAGCAGGGTAACACATGCGGGACAATCTGGCTGCCACTGTGTCTGCTCCAAACATTTGTGTGCTGCTTTCCATGAGCACGACTGCCTGTAAAACATTTAAACGGAGTTAAACATTTTACAGTTCATGTTGTCAGCTTTCCATTTCTTGCCTAATTTCATGTTTACAATTACATGCATTTTTTTGTTGTAGCTTTATGGGCTAAACCACTGAACTGGTGAGCAGAAGGTTGCTGTTTCAAAACCACCAGTATGTCCCTGAGCAATCCAGGTTGTTCCAGGGGATTGTAGGTCCCTGTAATAAGAGCACTGTAAATCACTTTGGATAAAAGCTTCATGACATTTTTTGATGATGCTTTTGAAGCTTCTGAAAGTCAGCCTTCATTGTATGAACAAAAAACCAGCAGAACAAACTTGACCAAACTCACATCCTCAGTGTCTTTTGCTGTTTCTCTAGATGTTCTCGCTGGCTCTGGTGTCACTGAGGATGAAGAGACCACAGCAACATCTGGCCCAGATGAGGCAGTAAGAGGTGGAGTGATGGAGCATCTCATCCATGGCACTGGACCATTTCCAGTATGCTGCTGTGGACTTCTCCATCCTCACTACTCACACCAGTCTGAGGACATTTCAGATCCTGCAAAGATGCACAAACACAATACAAAAACAGTCATTTTAACAGCATAATGTCATCTGATTTCCGTATTGGAAGTAACAAAATGATCTTATTTATATTTTTGTTTCAGGTTTTCCCTTTTTTTCACAAACGCCGCCGTCACCTTGCCTTACAGGTCCTGCTCCACCACAAAAAATCTCCTGCAAATGCACAGAAATCAAGAATCAGAAAAGTGCTGTAAAAGTTGTTTGAAATTACAATAATTAATATAAACTACAACTTAAGATTTAAAAAAATGTGTATATAGCTTTCCTTCATCAGTCACTCTTCACTGGATAAACACCTGTGTGTCTCATCTGTTCCTGTAACATCCAGACAAGAGTCAAGTCACATCTGTGATTTATCTGCTCAATACTGCATTTACATGTTGAGGTAGTTGCTGATGTAACTCACCTTTTTATTCAACACAAATGTTCCTTAAATTATCAATATTACAAATGGACAAATAAAATAGATAACTTATGTTTAGTTACTTTATGTAGATTTGTTTATTTACATGACTTACATTCATCTAAAACAGTGTTGACAACAGTGAATTCTCCATAATAGCACACATCACTCAGATGCCTGTTTCAAGTCTATTAGATGTGCTCATCTGCAATACTAATCAAAGATTATCCTGTCAGATGTTAAATAGACATTTAGTAATTGTCTTCAAAGGTCCCATATTGTACACCTTTCTGGAGTTTTATTTGAGGTTTTGATGTCCTTAAGAATATATATTTGCGGTATAAGTACCAAAAACCATCTCAATATATTTTTACAGCTCCTCTCTCAGGAGCTCTGCTGAGAACAGGTCGATTTTGGTCTGTCTAATTAATATTCATAATCCTCTCTCCTGATTGGCCTGTTGTTTTCTGAGTGACGCACGGCCAGGCCAACCACAGGTAACTAGGGTCAGCGATGTCACAGCGCTAGCTGGAGGCAGCAAAACAAAGGGCAAACTGGAGGCGGCCTATTCAGTGTTGCCAACTTAGCAATTTTGTTGTTAAATTTAGCAACTTTTCAGACTACCCTAGCAACCTTTTCTTCCAAAAGCACCAAGCAACAAATGTAGCTATTTTTTAAATTTTATTTGGCAACTTTTAGCAACTTTTGATAAGTGACTCAAACGATAAAAAGGCACAATTTACCATTTAAATTACACAAAAAGAGGAAACCAAAGATGCCTAGCAGTACACACATTACAGGAATTAAGTTAGCTGCTATTTGCAATTGTTTAATTTAATAGTAATAATAATAATAATTGAATAGTTGTTTTTCATTTATGAGACACTTTGTTAGTAGCTTGTACCTGTGATTGTTGATGAATACACTGTAAGAAAAATATGCAGAAAAATGGAAAAGGTGCTAGTAACTTTCCAGTACATTATCCATTATCCATTGTAACCCGAAAACACAAAATACAATGCGTAATTAAAAATGCAGGTACAAAAACCTGTAGAAAAATAAATCCAGAAAATTCCTTCATAGTAACTAACTACTAATAAACTGCTTTAAAGTATAAAACAAATTGTAATCGTTCAAAAATGTGTAAGTTTTCGATAATTCAATGAATTTAAAAATAGTTATATATATTTTACTATTATATTATGCATTTATATTGCTACGAACAAATCTAAACATATATAAAATATATATGTTTTTGCTGAGATTTGACACAATTTTGCATCGTGATTACGTAATGATGTCATCACGCAATGTCATCACAACATAATTTAGCAACTTTTAGCAACAAATCAACCTTCCTTTAGCAACTTCCCCTGAAAATTAGTTGGCAACACTGGGCCCATTCAAACCAGCGCAGTTTCGGCTACATAAGGAGCTTAAAATATCATCTTGTGATGTTGGGTGACAAAATCGACATAATACAGCCTCAAATTAGAAATTTGATTGCATATCTGCTGTCACTGCCAGACAAAAAAACGACGACAGCTGTTAAACGCGATAAAGCGAGCAGACTGGACAGAAAGGATCGTCAAAAATGCTCGCGTTTGCAGCACACACTTCTTATCAAGAAAGGTTCAATAAAGTATTGTCTTTTGTTGTTATGGTCTACAGATTTCTTGCCATATGTCTGTTTCTTGCATCTCACGACTATGTCGTGTATGAAATAATGTCTGTGTGCATGTGTGTAAAACAACAAACTGACGATTTATATATAATCATTTGTAATTTTATATACATTGTTGTGATTAATTGTGGCTGGAACAATAGTGTAGCTGTAAAAATAGTTGCGTGCTGAAATTGAAATATATATACATCTTCATCATGACTAGATAGACACGGTGAGTGTGTCTTTACTATACACGTTAGACGTGATCCACCTCATAGTAACAATCCTGTCAGATCATCCATTCTTTGAGTGAGAGTGTAACCTTACAGGTCGGCCGATCTGGTTTTGTGGTTAAAGTTAACCTTTTCGACATGTTTCCGTGTTGTCCTTGCTCAGCAAAAGCATGGACGCGATGTTGTCTGGGGGTTTTGGCAAAAGGAGAGTGGGACTGTGGGCGGTGCTCGGGTGGTGACTGAAGGCGTGTGTCAACTTTTTACGGAAGTCACAACGGTTGGTGAAAAATAGCTAGAACTTTAAGCAGGCTGTGTGAATTTGACTGTGGACTGACTGTTTTGAAACTTATATGGTAGTTAAATAGTCCCTAGACTTCAGTAATCGTGAAAAAAGCCAGGAAATTTCAGTTTTGACAATATGGGACCTTTAAGATGTACAGTGTTGGCCCCCTTCCTGATTTCTTATTCTTTATATCTTTAATGTTTCATATCAAACTAATTTAAATATTAGTCAAAGATAACACAAGTGAACACAACATGCAGTTTTTAAATGAAGGTTTTTATTATTAAGGGAAAACAAAATCCAAAACTACATGGCCCTGTGTGAAAAAGTGTTTGCCCCCTAAACCTAATAACTGGTTGGGCCACCCTTAGCAGCAACAACTGCAATCAAGCGTTTGCGATAACTTGCAATGAGTCTGTTACAGCGCTGTGGAGGAATTTTGGTCCACTCATCTATGCTGAATTGTTGTAATTCAGCCACATTGGAGGGTTTTCGAGCATGAATTCCTTTTTAAGGTCATGCCACAGCATTTCAATAGGATTCAGGTCAGGACTTTGACTAGGCCACTCCAAAGTCTTCATTTTGTTTTTCTTCAGCCATTCAGAGGTGGACTTGCTGGTGTGTTTTGGATCATTGTCCTGCTGCAGAACCCAAGTTCGCTTCAGCTTGAGGTCACGAACAGATGGCCGGACATTCTCCTTCAGGATTTTTTGGTAAACAGCAGAATTCATGGTTCCATTTATCACAGCAAGTCTTCCAGGTCCTGAAGCAGCAAAACAGCCCCAGACCATCACACTACCACCACCATATTTTACTGTTGGTATGATGTTCTTTTTCTGAAATGCAGTGTTACTTTTACGCCAGACGTAATGGGAAACACGCCTTCCAAAAAGTTAAACTTTTGTCTCGTCAGTCCACAGAGTATTTTCCCAAAAGTCTTGGGGATCATCAAGCCTTTATGTTCTTTTTGCTCCGTAGCGGTTTTCGTCTTGGAACTCTGCCTGTTTGGCGTTCCATAGAGTGCAAGTTACAACGTCATATTAAAGATCCCCTCCAAACGCGTTAAAATAATGCCACACGCCGACCGATGTCAAGTTAACGCCACACGCCACTTAAGATGCAGATTTATTTGCTCATCTACATGGACACACCTCTCATGGCTACGAGGACTCTAAGGCAAGTCGGAGCATCCAGTTTGCAAGAGCGAGAAGATGGTAAGGACAGCCCTTACAATTCTAGATATAGGGGAAAAACTGTTTTATACAACAGTTAAATGAATAAGAAATTAATATTATTATTTCATTATTATTATATTAGCTTCTATTTTGAGTATAATTTCAGTTTAAAAAATAGTTGAGAATAGTTTCACAAAAATTTTAATTCTGTTTATTTACATTTACATTTACTCACCCCAATGTTGTTTCAAACCTTATGATTGGTTACCAGCATTCTTCAAAATATCTTCCTATGTTCCTCAAAAGCAATACAGACGTAATGCTTTTGAGGAACATAGGAAGACATTTTGAAGAATGCTGGTAACCAAACTGTTTTAGTCTGTAAATATATGTCGATTCAGATGCAGCTTCTGAAAAAAAAGTATAGCAGGTGTAATTCTAAATTAAATATTTATTTTTAAAGCTACATTTTGTTTGCTTTTTCTCATTCTTTGCTTTTCTCATTTA